TGTTGCCTTCACATCCCAGTTCTAAAAGGCTTTGTCCCAATATTATGATGATCTTTAGAAAATTCACGGTGTTGTGGATATTTTGGAGACAGTGTAGGCAGAAAAGTAATTTCTCTCCAGAGCAGAGATTGGGATTTCTACAACTTTGCCAGACAGGAGACAAAAAGCCTCAGCAGTAGGGAATGACTGATGGGTGGGTGAATGGAAAACTTTCAGACATAGCAATTCCTATTATCAACATCACCAATTTTAAAGCACTTGTATGTGTTTTCTCCTTAAATACTTAAAATAACTCCATGAAGTAGGTAAGGTAGTCACAGATGAGGAGATATACTCGAAGCTGAAGTGATTTTCCAAAGATGCCTTGCTAACTGATGGATAAGGTGGGACTTGACATCAGCCTTTTTGATTCCAGATCTAGTACCCATCTAACTCGCTCAGTGTTTCTAAAGTTCACTCATTCATTCAGCAAATACTTTCTGAGTTCCAGTGATCAGGGAACTATTGAGAATGCTGAATGAAACCCTGGCTGTGCAAAAAAGGGAGTAGTAACATTTTTAAGGCTTTCTGTGTAACTGACAGACACTGAGCTGTACTGTGCACAAACCCCATCACAGGTATCTTCACACCAACGTTGTGAGATATACTTACCCCCATCTCAGTGCGACAGACAAAGCCTGAGACCGTGCAGCTGGCAGAAGGCAGAAGTAGCCGTGGTAGGGCTGGGATTTGGTTCTGGGACTGTCCAGCACCAAAGCCTGTGCTCTTAATTATGTTGCCTCTGCCATACTCATAACTCTGTTAACAGCCATAAATCCAACTTTGTCTGTTAGACCTAGTAAATTTCAAAGTGGAAAATCATTTCTCCAATAAAACTATACTTAGAAAAAAACGATGTTAATGCTCATACGTTCTACCCTCATTATGACATCAACCTCTGAGCCAAACTATTTTGCACATTATAAAGAGCTCTTTTTATGATGAATGGAGATTATATTGGCACTTTAATTGAGTTAGAAACCAAGGTACGTGAAAGTGAGTGCACGACAAATGTAATACAAAAAAGCTGTTCAGTGTGATCGGAATATTTCAGTTTAATTTAACACCACCTTTAAATGCTTAAAGTCCATACCTTTAAATGTGTTTAATTAAATTCTTGGATTAAATATTTTGATGTGTATATCTGTACATACATTTTGTCCTGCAAAAAAAACTCTTCCTTTTCTTCTAATTAGTTCCCTGTCACATTCTGAACAGATCTCATGTATGATAAATTTGGATTTCAAGTTCATGATCAAAATTCTTGTTTGCATATAGGAATGGAACTGTCATCCTCTTATGTTCTAATATCACTATCTGGAAGGTTAGCATATATTTGGGTAAATTTATGTAAACTTAAAAAAATCACTGTCCACAGCAGAGAAATATTTGACCAAAATAATTGGTTCCGTTTCTGCCATATTTAATTATTAATTTGATTTCTTTCATTCTAATTCAAATTTGTGCATCATTTAAAAGAAGAAGGTATTTAATTCACATGCCCTTAAAATAAGTACTTGTATTTGCTTGATCTAGTATTCATCAAATTGGAGAGTTTATTTTAATTTAGGGCTTGTGGTTTCCTTAAGGTCAAATCCATTTTAGAGAAGGAGTATGTTATTTAAATTACTTAGTCAAATTAGGGACCTTGAGAAAAACCAGGAAGTCCCTAGGCTTTCTGGAAATGAGATGTCCTACATTCTACCCTTTTCTAATTCAATCAAAAAGATAGGATTGTCAGCATAAGAGTTAATGCATGGAATTTGGATTTTTCAAACATAATTGGGACAAATGTTTTGGAGAATTAATTTGCCCAAATCGTGTTGTGGTTTAGCATACTACAATATTAGCATTGTAAAGTGTGCGTTAAATAGTTCCCGTCAATTATGCTTGGCTGTGAATGAATCCAAGGGTGCCTTTTGTTATAAATTACTATTTCCTAAAATGCTTTTGCAGAGAGGCAGTGAAACACTTTCAGATTTGGAACGTTCAAAGAACCACTCTTGCTAGTGGTTGATTTTGAGCCAGCACAAATGCTTATGAGGACTCATAAAACAAAGCAAAGTTGAGGCTGGCTCAGTTGCTGTTCCTCCATTTTCCTCCCACTGGAATCCCCCTTTGGTGCTTGAACACGCTTGCTTCTGCCGCATCTGACTCACCAGATACCTCAGTGTGACAGCTGCTTGCCCACCAAGTTGAAGATAATGATTTGGACGTTTAACTAGAGAGTCTCTTGGCATTGCTAGTGCCCACTCCTCCCATTCTGAGCATGCAACATTAACATAAAAACTACATCTATTTTTGCAGCTGTAGATAAATCCTGGATTCCCCAGATGGGATCACATGAGAAGGTATATCTTAAAATGGCAAAAAGAAGCAGAAGAGGCATTATATATACCTACAGCTTGAAGCTAGAGGGAGTTTATATTTCCAGGTGCCTTGCATGAATTTACAGAAGGTTCCTTTCCCTGTAGTTAGTCATCAGGCAAAGAGAGCTGTTCATTACTTTAGCAAGAATTCCCAAGTTAAGCCAAGTAGCTCTCAGTTCTGTTGGTCTTTCCGGAAGACCCAGGAAGGGGCCTTTGGAGGATGACCCCATAAGAATTGAGATATTTTGCCATGATCGCACTGGCAGCTGTGGTGGTTTAGTCAATCAGTTCTGCAGGTCGTTTTGGAATTCTTTGCTTCACCTATGTGTGATGCTGCTCTCTGTCCTCAGGGTCTTGCCCTGTCTTTGGCCATTGAAAATAACTAGAGACCTTTTATAGGAATTAACTGGAGGCTTTGCCAGAGGTCCATGGAAATCTGGCCACCCAGCCACTGCCAGCCACTGGTCACCTGCACATGCGTGCTCCAGCAGTTCCCAGCAGCCAGCAGGTCAGCGGAACCATCCTTATGGAATAAGCTTGATTGTTTTATATCCTCCAGCCCCAGAACTATTCACAGTTTTGATACTGACGTTCACCCAGACTTTTCTGAATTTAGGGAAGCGTCACTGTGTGGGAGGGGAGGCCCCCAAGGAGAAAACCAGAGATAATCGCAAAACAATTCTTGCAGCCAGGTTTCCTTCTTTTCAGATGCAGGGATTTAGCAAAGCAGAGAGAAAGCTGAGTGGGACACATTTGGAGGTTAATTCAGAAAAGAAAAGTAGGACGAGACACCATCATGGAGACTGCGGAGACTAAGCTGAATTGATTAGTTCAAACTGGCCTTGGGGGGTTGGGGGGCATCTTGGAATAGATCAGCCCTGGTGGGTCCCAGGCACCTGACCTGTCAAAAGTTCTGGGTGGGAGGAGCACCTGATGGCACTGCAGTTTGCCCTTTAATTAGGCTTGAAAAGGGAGAAATTGGGCTAAATTAGATGTTCTCTAAGTTAAGTGATGTCTTTAGTTTCTTCTAAGGTTTCTTGACCACAAATCTTTTTTTTTTTGCTTTATTTTTGAACACTTAAAGCCACCCCCTCTGTAGATCCTTGATTATTTAGGAAGGAACATTTCAACACAAGGAGACTGTCAAGAAATGGGATTTATGTTCATAGACTGGTCCTGAGAAAAGCCATTAGTCTTAGCCCTGTGTGCTGGGAGTGAGGGGAGCAGGGCTTCTTGCAGGAACCGTAAATCTGCCACCAGATGTCTCTGCAGCCCACTCCACAGGAATACTAACGGGAAGCGGAGGCTGGGGAAGCAGGAGCTGAGCCGGCTGCTGACCTTATGGTGTATTCCCCACTTCATAAATTAGGCAGAAGCCACTGAGGGTGTCTGTTTCCCTAATTCCTTGGTTATTTATTTCCCTACACTGATTCCCATTTGAAAAGTGGGAGAGGAGTCGTAGGGTGCTCCCAGAACAGGAGCTTAAACACCAGCAGTGCACCACCAGGAGCTGTGAACCTGCTCATCCCTGAAGTGGCTCTTTCGTGCTGTTACAGTGCTGGGGATGGGTGAGGAAGCCACAGGATCCCAGGGTCCCTGATGGTCCCCAGCCACTCAGCAAACGGCTGGGGGCTGCCCATGAGTGCTGGAAACAGTGACTCATTTTACTCTGTACAATTTTAGAAGATTGAAAACATTTTAGTGGAGGGTTAATGGGCAAGTTAATTAGACAAATTAAAAAATATATTTGGGGAAAAAGAGAATTGGTGTGAGTGCAGTGTGGGCCTAATCTTTGGAGTCAGAGATGATGGGAAGACCCCACCAATTTGGTAAAAAGGATCGCTCCAGAAAGGAAATGAGCCAGGTTAGTTTGGCATCCTCCCCATTCAAGCTGGTCTGCCCCACGTACAATGATGTAAGCTGTGACTGTCCATCCAGGTGCATGTTGGTGTGACTTCCAAATGATCTGACACAGGAAATCTCCACACGCCCCACTGCCAGCTGTCTTCCTGCCTCGGTAGAGAGAGAAAGTGGTACCTCCTGCTGTGTGTGGGGTGACCACAGGGATACACCACCCCTGAAGATCAGGGGCCTGTTTACAAGAGACGTTGCTTGTCTGCATTCTGGGTTTCTCACTGAATTGTCTGGCAATGATTTAATAGATTTAGAAACTTTTCCAAGTAAGAGGCAGGGATACAAAAATCAGTATCAGTCAATGGGTGATCGTTTCTGAAGAAAAGAAGAGAACACTGAATAGAGAACAACCAGCAACGAAATGTGATTTGCGCCCCTGATCACGTGACCACTGCCGGCATCATCGTGACCAGCAGCACCGTTTTCTTTATGCAGAGCAGAAGCTGGGATGCAAAGAGTCATGAATGCAGCCCTGCTCTTACTCCAAAAAAGATGGAGCTTTAAAGAATTTTCGTAGATTCTTTCCTCCTCCACCAAAGGTCTCACCTAACACACAGTATCTTGTTTTACAAAAAAAAGATGGGTTTTATGGAAGCAAGTGGTAGAACCTTGACACGGAGGCCCCGTGTCTGCGGTCCTGTCAGTAGGTCATGATGGGATGTGATGCTTTTTTAACAGCTTACAGAGTCCGGTGAAGAGAGGATCAAAGTGCGCCAGCAAGGCGGGCGCTATCCCCAGAAAGAGCACAGGCGCTCTGTAGAGGCTGCTGCTGAGATGCTGTATTCCCTGAAGATCCAGAACGCTACTAGCTGCAGCTCGGGGATGTACAGGTGCACTCTGGAGGGGCCCGGAGGGTGGAGGAACCCAAGTGGCACGGTGATCTTGAAAGTGACAGGTGAGGTGATGGGCTGCCCTGTTTTCTTCTTTCGAAATGCGTGCGCACTCTCTATAGGTCCTAAAATCAGTCCTCTCAATCAGAGTCTAACTCAGAAGTTTTGGATCACATCTGTGGCTAAAAGCTAAAATCTGCTGTCAAAACTTTTTCTGCTTTTTTCTTTTCTTTCCTTCTCTTTAAATAAGGACAGATGTACCCCAACCTCCCTTGGGCTGATGCCACATATACCCAAACAACTGACTTGGCTGTTGTTTATTCACATAAGAGTCCACTGGAACAAATGGCAAGCATCCAAGAATAAGAGAAACTGTATGGTCAGAATACATCATATGATTGTATAATAATCTGCTTACCTGGGACTTTCTGACCTGGCCTCAGGGAGCTGCTTCCTATTTCCACCTTTTTCACATGAGAACACCATTCCCCTCCCACTTTGCAGTGACCGAATTTCCCAGCATCTCCACTCAGGCCAAAGAGAAAGGGAACATCGAGAAAATAATGTTCCAGTGGCAGAAGTAATACCAAGGTTTGAGCCTTAAGACCAGAATTATCTCCTTAGATGTTTTCCTTAACTTTTGTTTAATGTGGCTTCAAATATGCCTGACATTTGACTTTTGCCCAACTCTTATTAGTAGCTGAGGCTTAAAGTGGCAAACATGTTGTCGTGGAGTCCCTCATTTTGTACAATAGCTGCTTTCTCCTTCTTTTGGGTATTTCAAAGGAATCTGACTGTAATATTCCAATACTCACAAAAACATAGTCACTGTGTAGGGGTCGGTGTTTGGATTTGGTTCACTGTTACACCCACACATACACACACACCTTACACCTTTCTCAGTCTCTGGCCTTTTATACTGCTTTGTCTGTCTTCACTGCATTTACTGCACCTGTTTTGTTCTCTGCTGTATCCTGGTACACAGTAGGCCCTCAATGAATATGATTCACAGGATGAGAAATGACAGCAGCCTTGCAGGGAAGAACAGAGAGAGCATATGGTGAGCAGAGAGGAAATGAACAGAGAAGGGCTGATTTTCTTTCTTTGCAAGACAATGTTGTCCACATTGTATGGTCAGAGTCTAGAGTCATTTGAATCTGGTTCAATTGTTAGCCATGCTACTTGTTAGCGTGTTACTTTGGGCATATCTCTGATGAACTTGAAATGTCTGTTCTCTCATGTCTTAAATGGGGATCATGGTATCTACACTGTAGGCTTGTGGTGAAGGCTCAAAGAGATAGCACACTGAGAGGCCTCGTGCCCTGCCTGGGATAGGCCGAGCGCTGCATAGAGGCTGGCAACCATTAGGACAGCAGCTCTCAGCCCTTCTTTCCCTGAGTCGCAAACCCCTGTGAGAAGCCATCCATCCCTACACTCTTGCATGAAATTGTGGATCCAGTTTCAGAGATCACTTGTGCTCTTGAGGCCCACTGATGCCCCAAGGGAGGAACCCCCTCTGGTCACCTGCACAAAACCCTCTCCTGCCAGGCGGCCTTCCAAGCAGACTCAGCAACCTCGCTTCCCCGAACAGCATGTTGATGCCGAGTGGAGAGAGGCCGTCCCTGCCAGGTCCCTTCATGGGCTGATGGCGTTGCTCTTCCTGCCCTTGCTGCCTAGGTGCTGCAGCCCCAGCCTTCAGCAGCCCCATAGGGAGCTGCTCTGTGCCCACATTGGCTGCTGGCCTTGGTGGAGGGACTGGAATGATTGTACAGAATGTGTCGGCTTCCTTGGTAGTAGGGTGGCTCCCTTGCCTCGCTTTATTGTCTCCAGGCCTCCTGAGTGGGGGAACCAAGCCTTCTGCACAGTACCGTGGAAATTAGACAATGTGCAGGTTAGCAAATGGTGGCGTATCTGCTGTGAAGACAAAATAAAGCCAGGGAACACCTGGCATTTGCAGTGGAGGCATCAGGGCCCCCGGCTTAGTGTGGACCAGACGCCTGGCTCTGCCATCTGCCTTCATCTCTCAGCCTCTCTGAGCCTCGATCCCTTCACATGTAAATGCGACCCTCAGCCCTCCTCTGAAGGTCCGCTGAGATGCTGTGTGTCCGCCCGTTGCGGAGCTGAGCACAGAGTGGGAGTGTGTGCTGGCCGCTGCCCCTGCTGTCACCCCATCATTTCCATCGTGTTTCCTGATGGCACAGGCCTGGAGGGAGAGGCAAGTCAGGCTTTGAAAAGCTGGAGCAAAGCGTCCTTAGCCTTTTGTCATGGTAGAAAAGTCCTGTTAAATGGCTTCACATTTTACTTACATTTTCTTTAAGGATGCCCTAAGGAGCGCAGAGAGGACACTTTTAAGAAATACAGAGCTGAGATCGTACTGCTGTTGGCTCTGGTCGTTTTCTACTCGACACTCATCATTTTCACTTGTGTAAGTATCTTTTACAAACCTCTGTTATTATTGAAAGATCACCTGGGGCACCAACCCGAATATGTTTTGCCGATAGTCTGAACCATTTGATAATGGGGAGAGATGTTAGTCTCTGGACTCTGGACGGGTTGAGGGCCCTGGCCTGCGAGAATCATTACAGGAAGCCCCCAGCTTCTTTCTCAACTTGTGGCACTGTGCCGAGCCCTGTGGAGAGAAAACAGTAAGAGATGTGGAGGAAGTGTGAGATGCCAGGGCATCCTAGCAGGGCACCAGAGGGCCTCATAGTTACAGTGGTAGAAAGTGTAGCACTCACTGCCCACCACCTGCGCAAAGGCACCTTTTTCAAGTAGACAGGTGAGCAAGGCCAGTCACCCAGGGTAGGTCAGTCTCCTGACCTGCCCTTGAGCTGTTTCCTCTGAGGGCTTCTCCCCTTGTATTTTTGGATTTCCACCTACTGCTTGAGAATTAACCCTGAGAAGCCAGAGCAGGGGGTGCACACGGAGTGTCCTGGCATGGAGGATGACTGGCCAGGGTGTGGGCGTCCCTGACATGCCTTTGAACTATTGGGAGCTGAGTCAAGCCTAAAGACCTGGAGCCCCTCTCTGGATGGCTGCTCACCTGGGTTGCCCCAGGTTATGGGGGAGCAGGGCCAGCTCTGGGCCTCACCCACTAGGAAGTGATTGATCCTGTGTGTCTCCATACCACCAGGAAGTGCTGGCTACTTAGGGACGGGACAGGTCTCACTCAGGAGCTACTCCAGTGCTGGTTCCTTTCACTCACTGTGCCCCTCTCTCTACATACTCGCCTTTCTGGCCATGTTCTCATCTCTCTCATTACTATATTAAACATAAGTCAATCAAAAGACCCAAATGAGTACCTACTGTATACAAGTTATTAAACTAGGCATTGTAGGGGATATAAAAAAGTATAAGACATGATTCCTGCCCTCAAGGACCTTACAATTGGGTTGTTAGGGTTATTTGCACATAAGTTAATTAGAATCACTGGTAAGTCATTAAAAAATGACTGACTTTAGTTTCTTGTCGGCAAATGTCTGTTTTCTGTGGGCACTGATTTTCTACCCAGCTAACTAACAGTAGGGGCTTGAAATGGCTCCAGTCTGTAATCAGCGCATCTCAGTCACAGTTTGGAGACAGCAGTGAGAGAGTCTGAGCTCACCGTAGTGTGCGTGAGCTAACCAGTGTCATGAGGCCTTCCAGTGAGCTCTCCAGCCAGTTCTTAGTGAAGGGAGTTTAAATCAAGGTTGACAACCGATCTGGTTTTCCAATTATTCACTTCTCAACTTACCTCTTTTATTTTATATTTCAGAAGTTTGCACGACAGCAGAGTATTTTTCCAGATTTTTCTAAACCTGCCATGGAACGAGCTTTTCTTCCAGTCACCTCCCCACATAAGCAGTTGGAGCCAGTGGCTCTCCACAAGACAGAGATGGTATGAGCAGCATCTCTGCAGGTTGTTCCTTCCAGAGTCGAGGGCTTAGTGATATGCCACTGGACAAGGAAAGAATGAGCCCCACACTGAAGAGGACATCCTTCCTGTGACATCCTTCACCTGACGGAAACATCTGAGAGTGAATACCACCCCACGCTGTGTGAGCAGGACTTTGAAAACCATAACATGACCACATAGCATGGGGCCACCATGCTTTCCAGGGCTGCCACTTCACAGCTCTCTTCTCAGCATCTTATTCAGCTATCTGGTCAACCTTGCGGAAGTTTTCTCAGTCATGTAAAAGCTTTGGTGAGATGCAGTTGGAAAAGGGTCTTGGAAAATACGAATGCCCAGAGCTGGCCCCATGATAAACCCTTAAGGACAGCTGTCCTCTTCCACATCTGGGAAACATCTTGAATTTGCTGTGTTTTCTTGTACTGGCCCAGATGTTTTATGTGTGGGAGAAATTGACAGGCCAAACTGTGAGACAATGGGAAATATTTAGCAAACAGTTTCCCAGTGCGAAGGCATTGCCGTTAGGAGGAGTATGATGTCTACATAGAAATTATAGGTTGAACTGTTTCTCAGCAGAGTCTTTTCACCAGGGAAAGACAGCCACAAAGAAGCAATAAAGAAGAGTACCATGAAAAAAAAAAAAAAAGAAGAGTACCATGTTTATTTTTATATCTGCATATACCTGTCAAAGAAGGATTCGTGGTATTTCCCCTTTTGAAATCTGTATCTACAGTTAGATATGAAGGCTAACTGACAAGCCACTTGAATATGGAGAGAGACACGTCAGAGAGGGGGACAACAGGCTGAAGACCTATCTAGTGACCCGACCAAATGCCAGGCCAGTTCCACAGCATGGGTCCCCCGCTGTCCGCTACTGAGCTGTATAATCTTGAACGAGATCCTTAACGTTTCTGGTTCTTTAGTTGTGAACCAGAAGGTTGTTGCATGAGATGATTGAAATAACATATGTGGAAATGCTTTGGAAAGTGTAAAGTATACAAATGTGAAACTCCCGTGGGTCATTATCCTTATTATAGTGGTGTTCTGGGCGCAAGAGGACACCTCTCATTTTTCATGTTTTCTATCGCTCCAAACAAAGAAGGCTATGAAGAGGACTTTTCCATAGTCTTCTGCATGAGTCCTTTTGGGGAAGTGGGGAGGCCAGCTTAGAAGTCTGTTCATGAAGCACCAGCCCGAAGTCCTCCAGGACATGGACACACAGGAGCCACTGGGCTGTGGGGAGAAGGGAGTTCACAAAATGTTACGTTGACATGTCGGCAGTTGTTGGGTTTCTCCTGTCAAACTTGGCACTTTCCCTACTTGTTTTCCAAAGAAATTTTAGCCCTTTAGCGGTGTGTACATTGCCTGCTCTAACATTAGAGAGTAAAAGGGATGCCAACATGATTTAGTGTTTTGGATTCTTTGTCACGGCTTGTATGTTATTAAATGTATGCATGTCAATAGGGAGTGTTTCGTTCTTTTTTACATTTAAAGCTTCGCATAAGACTGTGAGATAAGTGCTAGGATATAAACTAGTTTGAGACCCAGAGCCCAAGATGAAGTTCTAGAGATGGAAATTGGCTGAGTCCTTCTGGGAGGGCAGACATTTATGGCAGGTATTATGGAACAGTACCACCTTCTTCCCAAGGATGTCCCCGAATCCCTCCTTGAATTGCCTTGCCACCAGGTAGTACATGACCAGCTTGACCACATGCATGACCACAGGTGGGAGGGATGGAAAGAAAGAGGGCTTCCCCTTCAGAAGGATGTGTGAAGTCAGCGTCTCTGTACCTGGAATTCATGGGGTTTCACTCTAGCTTCTCAAATAGGCCCACTACCCCCAAAATGATAAGGACAACCTAGTACAAATGATTATAATAGTAACCAAAGCATCATAGGTGAATCCATTTGGGGAACGGATCTGTAAAGATGAATGCCCAAAAATGTCTGTAAAAGCTATAAACTCTTTCAGTGGAATCAACTCCATTCTCAAATACTTTACTGAAAGTGTTGGGAGACCATTTGGCATGGTAATTAAGAGCTCAGGGAGTTCTTAGCTGGCTTCGGAGTCCATCATCATTTAGGAGCTTTACCACTTCGTGGTAGACATACTTCTCTAGGGGGTCTTACCTCTTTAAGCCTCAGTGGGCAAATCTTTAAAATAAGCATAAGAATAGTATTGTATTTTGCCAAATAGGTTTGTTGTGAGGATTAAATGAGAGAATATATCTCATAGCTTAGCCCAGTGTCTGACAAATAAATAGTAAGCCCTTAATTAACGTTGGAACAAGAAAGAAGAAAAAGGCAGCAGAGAAAGTGGCAGTGACCATGAGTGACAAAATGGTTTTGTTGAAAGGAATGAATGGGCATGTGCTTCATGGCCATTAGGATTATAGTACCCAAAACACTAGGAGGGGGCTTCTCTCCATCAGTTTTGGTTGACTTGAGCTAAAAACGATGGAAATTTAAGATCAGGTCGACTCAACATTTCACACCTAGTTTGATATAAGAAGAATGGTGTATGTGTGTGAGAGAGAGAGAGGGGGAGAGAGGGACGGGAAAGGTAAAGGTGAGCAGGGTGGAATTTATCAAGGAGAGTGAACTGGTTTTCTACTGCCTTGACTGAGGTCTCAAGTAATTTTAGAGGAAGGTAGATGATCAAGGGCCATATTCATTGCTGTCCCCACTGCCAGGGAAAGCTTGTTCTCAGGTCTCCTCTGTCCATGGAATTAGATCTACAGTTATAGTAACTTCACATTGGGATGTCCAAGACAGAAATACAGACATAAATATCAGTGCCACATCCTTCCAAAGAAGGCCTGTGGTTTTTGTGTTCATAATAATTCTTAGCAGGTTTCATCAGAGAAATACTGAGCTGCACCCACAGAACCAGGGGAGCGTGATGACTGGCTGGGGTTGCAGGAGAAATCCAACGGTGGCCTGGGGACACAGTCTGCGAGGCTCATGTGTTAACCCCATGACACAGGAAGAGTCAGAGTCTCAGAAAAATTCGGTCCGGTTCTCTGGCTCTTTCCTCATTGGCAGGCAACTTTATTTGGCTGCATCAACCGGGTAATTGTTTAGTATCCCATCATTCCTGTGTAAAAATAGTCAAAGGTCTAAAAATCATAGGATAGGAACTGTTTGCTTAATTCAATAGCAGTTACCCTGCAGAGTTTTGCTACTGATTGTTTGCAGAGCCAGATTTGATCTAACTGGTTTGTAAGATACATTCAGTAAGCTCTTAGTCAGAGTCTATTATTGTTATTTATTGTCTTCTTAAGACTAGATGTGTTTAGTTTCTAATTTTCACCTTTAAATTGCATAAGAAATTTAAATTACCATCTATAGAATTCTGTCACCTGTAGTGTCTGTGTGTGTGTGTGTGTGTGTATGTTGAGTGGGTGAAATTAAACCAAGGTGTATTTGCTGAGCAGTTACTCTGGACAAAATACTGCTGTAGGGCTCTGTAACCACTCAAGAAAGGCATGACAAGGCCTTCCTTTCAAGAAACTTACAATCTCATGGGAGGAGAAATGGGTTCAGAGCTATAAGCACAGTGACTTGATTTACTTAACAGTAGGCAAGGATACAGGAACAGTGGGAACACAGAAGAAGGACTGTGGGAGGGTCCACGTTCATGTGGGATCCCCTTAGAAGGCTTTAAAGAACGGATTCCATTTGAAGTTGGGCTTGAAGATAAGCAGGCTTTTGAATGGTAGTCACGGGAAAGGGGGGTGGGAATGGCAAAGACACAGCCTCTCAGGCACGAAGGTCGAGACCTCACTGGAACAGGGCTGGAAGCGAGGCTCTGTAGGCGTAGGGCACCCACAGCGCAGGCCACATCGGGGGGAGGCAAGGACGGAGACATATGCGTTCTTGTGGAGAACACAGTGGTATAGAACCCAAGGATTCGGGGTTGGGGAACTGTATGGTTAGATCCATTTCTAGGACACCTACCAGGGGAACAAAGTGAAGGATGACATGCAAGGGCTGGAGGGGAGGGGAAGCAGGAAGACCAGTGAGGAGGCGGCGGGAAGCCCAAAGAAGCAGCACTGATAGAAGAGAAGAGAAGCTGGAAACAAGCTAATTCCTACATGTTGTCTTTTCCATTTCTAGTCCTAGGTTTTCTTAGGATCCTAGATGATGCGCATGCTTTTTAAACTTAGGCCCCTTTCCTTTTTTAAAATAATGGAAAAAAAGAAACTATCCCTTTCCTCTTGACCCTGACACAACAGGCACAGGATCACAGGAAGCGACCCGATGTGTCCCAGCCCCTGTGACAGCTGACAGGGCTCTGGTGCTGCTGCGCCATAGATGTTGCCTGGTTAAGGCTGGTTTTATCTTTCTTTGCTCCCACTCCTGCTTCAACTTTCCTGTCCCAGCAGAATATTGCTGGGCTTCCCTTCTGTAATTCAAAACATTTGGTCAGTGGTTGGCTGACTCAGTAGACACGGAGTGCATCATCTGAGCTTTTTGGGTTTAGTCTTTCCTGTGCTTACCATCATATATTTGCTTCTTTTATTGGTTCTGTGACTTTATACTCTTGTCCAATTGATTACATGTTACATAATTGCTCCTTGGCGACTTTTGAAAATAAAACCTTCCAGCAGTTGGCTGACTTAAGAGACCCCACTAAACAAAGCATTACGAAAACTAAAGGATACCTTCAACGGCGCCTACGGGGTTGTGGGTGGGTAACGTGGGGTGGGTATGAATGCGCCTTAGAGAAAAGGAAAATGGAACCATATAACCTTGTTTGTTGCCCCAGAGCTTGATGAATTACACATGCCCCTCATCGTGTCCTTCAGAGGCAAGGCGTTTCACTTGAGGACAGACCTGTTTTCTTTTGCACTTCGTTATTTCATCCTCTGCACGGAATCCTGGGCAAATGAACAGTTAGGTAACAAAGAACGACCAGGAAAACATCATCTAGGTGGGCTGCCTTTGTTTCCATGGTTCCTGCGAAGTTAGGCAAAAGGAAGGAGGTGACACTTGGACTCGGGGCAAGCCTGGGATGCTTCCCTGCTCTCAGCGCTCAGACGGGCACGGAACCCCTCTGAGCAAGGGAGGCAGACCTCGCTTAGTGGTTCGTTGGACTCTGCATGAGAAAGAGATCCTGTTTTATCCTTCTTTAGAAGAGGGGCTGTTTTTCCAAACTGACCGTTTTCCCCCCTCACTCTTTTCCAAAGTGGCCTGTTTGCAATCTTGTCTTGCAGGTTGTAGATTACAGCACTTAGCAGAGACAAGTAGAGAGAAATTCAGGCCCTGAAAAGCTTCGTGACACCCCACAGAGTTGGAATGCTGTTTTTGAAAGGGGAAAAAATCTGCAAATGTGTATGTACTTGCCCGTGCACCCCAAAGAGCCAGCTGGACGGCCCATAAACGGCCCTCATTCAGGAACAACAAAAGCCCGAGTCAGAAGTCAAGGGACAGGAGGCTGAGAACTAATAATAATTTTGCACTTACACAGCAGTTTTCATCCGAAGACCTCAGAGTGCTTTATAAACATTAATTAAATTGCCCCACAGCCCTGGGAGACAGCTGTGTATCGCTATTTCCAATTTGCAGGGGGTGGAAGGAGGGGAAATGTATGCATGGAGTGAAGCTGGCACCAGGCCAGGCAACATGGCTTTTGGATTGTGGATTTAGATAAAGCAGCAGGGTCTTTCCCCCTGTGGAGTCTAGGCTAAGGCCACACGTCACCATAGCTGCTGGGCCAACGTGGAGATGGTCTGGCAGCAGAGCTGTCCAGGACGACTCCCTCACAGGACCCACCTTATGTGTATAGTGACTGGGTGGCTACCTGTCCTGGGCCTGAAGGGTTTGGCATAATCTCCCCCACAAGCTCATCACCACATGCTGGCTGGCCATCATTACAGACTCACTCCTTTAGTAGGACTCATGACACAAGTCAGGCTCACCTGAGGTGCTGGCTCTGCCTGCTTGGCAATGTAGCCAGGATGGCTGGGTGGGGAAGGGTGGTGATTTCTAGCCTGCTCAGCAAAAAAGCCCAGGACACAAAAATAAGCCCACCTGTGCATGTGACCTTATTTGAAAATAGGGTCTTTGTAGATGTAATCAAGTTATGAGGCCACACTGGGTTAGAATGGACCTTAATCCAATGATTGTGTCCATGAGAAAAGGGACATTTGGACACAGAAGACAATGCCAGGCAAAAATGGAGGGAGACCTCGGGGTGACGTGTCTACAGGCCAGGGAATGAGTAGGATTGCTGGCAACACCAAAGGAAGACGTAAGCAAGTAGTCTTTCCCTGATCCTTCAGACAGCATTGCCCGGCTGGCACACTTTTGGCCTTCGGAGCTTGGAGAGACTGTTTGTGTTGTTTTAAGCCACCCAGTTTGGGGTATTTTGTTACAGCAGCCCTAGGAAATTAATAGTC